TTTAAAGCTTGATAATTTTTATATTCTATCATGGAGAAGACGCTTCACGTGTCACTGTGAGCTCCACTCTGACGTCATGCAATAATTTCCCTGCAAGAGGAAATTAAAGCTCAGATTAGAACAGAGATTTAATTATTTCAAGTCCAGGTCAGGATGTTCTCTATTAGCCAGTCAATCGACCAGACGAGAATATGAGGGAAAGTGTAGCTCTGGAGGTGCGCTGCTACCCCACACCCATCACACATACACACCCATCACACATACACACCCATCACACATACACACACACACAGAGACACAGGAAGTTTGCGAACAAGGTGAACTTACTGTGGAGTTTTCTGGTAGGATATTCCAGACGGTAGACTCATTGCTCATGGTCCAAGCCAACTAGATGGTCCCCCTGAGGAGTAACACACACACACACACACACACACACACAGACACAAAGGAAATGTCTGTCACTGGAGCTCTTCATCAAATCCCAAAGTTATCCACCAAATATTCTATCTGTATAAATCAGTCTAAAGCCTGAATCCATCCTTCAAACTGATGTTTAACGGTACAGAACGTAAATGATAAGATAAGATAAGATAAGATAAGATAAGATAAGATAAGATAAGATAAGATAAGATAAGATAAGATAAGATAAGATAAGACTATAAACCTGATCTACACATTTTCCCTTTCAAATTTTCAGACTTCGCTGCTGATTTTGAAGCTTTTTAAAGCCTAAGCACAAACACAAAGGGTGCATATGCTCTTTTAAAATTCAATGGCTAACACATATCTTATATTCAGACTATTTATAACACTATTGGGTCAAATATTCACAAGATTTATTGTTTTTAATAGAGTTAACATAGTTAACATAACTTACAGTGTGTGAAAAAACAACGAGCAGTGTGGCAAAAGCTTTAGAGACAATAAAAATCAGCAGTGGTCACAGCAGATGAACGTAACGATGTTTTAATTCTCCTGTTCTGAATTTATATGTTTTAGGAAATGACTTGGAGACTAAATTAGTCAGCAAATATAAACGATTTAAATGACTTGTTTAGCAGCATTTTAAGTATTTATACTCCTAAAAGCAGACACAGTCCTCTAAAATTAAACAAACTACGAGACAACCAAGCATGTGTTTTACTCCGTTCTATTTAAGCTTCAAAACAGCTGCAAGAATCCAGGAAATTTAGCTTCTCGGCTGTAAATCGTATCAAAAGAGGATTCAGAGGCAGAGCAGAGGGTGAAACAGCAGCTCTTATTAAACACTGGTTCCAGCACCACCACCATGCGTTTGCTCTTTTATATCCCACCTAGTAATACTGCTGCATCAAAACGCCCCCACACACACGGACACTCACCCAGCAAAGGGAGAAGCAACATGCCAGCAGCATCCAGCGCTCCTTCCTCGCCTGACAGTCTCTGCAGAACCCAACTTTAATCTATATTTGCCTGCTGCCAGCCCCTGTACTTCCCTACCTCCTCTACACAAATTAGCGCTGTTACTGGAAACCCACCAGTCTGGAGTCAGAAAGCTTGCCTGTGCAGCACCGCTGCACCACATCCTGCTTCCAGCTCAGTGGTCTTACCCTGATGGAGGGCAGTGCGCAGCAGCACCAGCTCTGGATGTGTGTGTGTTCCAGGAGTCTCCTCCTCAGCTCCCTCGCTGCATCCTCGGCCCGCCCAGATGACTGAGCTTGGGCAGCAGAGTTTCCTCCCTCAGGGTCGACCCGCTGGACTCGGAGCAACAGGACAAAAGTGCTGCATGGCTGATAAGAGACAGAGTGGAATTATTGTTTTGGTTTTTTTTACTCCACAGCTTTATATTTTAAAAATGGCTTCTTTTGAACAGTTGATGTTTGAGTCTAAATACTGTATCTGTGTATGTCACTCCTTGACCAAGTTATTTTTAATACATTTTAACTTTATTACAATCAAAGACCTAGCATTCCTTGAAGGACTGCAAATCACCCTCCATCTTTCATGTCAAAATGTTAAACTTAAGATAATCTTATAATGAAAAGAGTTGTACATTTTTGCGTAACCTTGTGTGGAATCGCAGGATCTTGTGAGATGAGTGTGTGTTGCTAATGACACTCAGCTACTACCACATCAAACTTTAACTCAGTAGTTGTACAATTTACTAAGTTGGATCAATTTTTGTGTTGGCTAAGGCCGATAAGTTGTAGTGACCAGCCAGTGGTTCTCAACACTGGTCCCTGAGGAACACCACCCTGTATGTTTTAACTGTTTTCCTGCTTGAACATGCGATTAAGTGATTTAATTTCTTCCTCAAGTGCTGCCAAAGCCCGTTAATCACCAAATCATTCACATCAGGTGTGTCAAAGCAGGGAAACAGCTAAAACATGTAGGATGGTGTTCCTCAAGGACCAGTGTTGGGAACCACTGAGTTAGACTGACTCCAAAAATTAATTAGTTGTAAATGTACACCTATTTTCCGCAAGTTTCATTAAAGTCTGTCAGGTGAAATATTTTGCTAACAGACAGGCAGTGTCGACCACTTTTATTCAAAGATGTTATGCAATGTGTAGCGCTCGGAGCATGTGCTGTAAACTACTCTCAGCGACTACCACACCACAAACATCTGGACAAACATCTGTTAAACTGACGGAGGTAAAGCCATTTTTGTGTCTCCTATCTGCTCTGGTGGCCATCTTAAATCAGACCGACTCCTAAATGTACATCCAGTGACTACTTTCTGAAAGTATGATTTAAAAAGTACATAATGATGGATTGCTAACACAGCAGACAGACGAACACGCGCACAGACACAGTGCTGAAAACACTGTATTTGAATTAACCTCAACACACTCCTACAGAAACACGTTTGCTTGCATTAAAGTAAAAAAAAAAAAAATAAATACAACACAAAACAAAACATTGTTTCAGGTAAGAAAGCCAATTTCCTATTGTTTTCCCCTGGAGCAGAAAATACACACAGGCATCGATTACAGCAGCTGCTTCAGTCTGTTGGGGTTTTTGGGGCAATTCTATAGAGAGCCTTAAAACTCATTTACTGTATATTGATTTTTTGGAAAATAAAAAAAACATATATCTAATCGTCGATAATAGTGATGATATTTAGCGGTGCTATGGATTCCCTTCGGTCTGGCTGGTGGCAGCGGCAGAAGCGGAGCTGAGCTCCACACAAGGCGGGCACACGCAGACCGAACCACTCACCTACTCTTCTCGGCCGGCCCGGTCCATACCGGAGCGGAGGGGGCGACGAAGAAAACACGAAACACTCTCGAACGCTTTAATGTGCGCTTTAAAGCTGAAAGTATTTATGAATGAAACCCCGCCGTTTAGGACACGCCCACCTCTTCGTCAGAAGTGTGACCACGTGACGCAGAGGGAGCCCAGCGAGTTCAACCATGAAGGAAGGGGAGATGAAACTATACCTGCTGCAGAACCTGAGGAGCATTTAGCGTATTTAGCCTCAGGGAAGAAGTTGAACATAAATTTAGTTCATGTAAAAAAAATAATGAAATTAGCAGAAGCAACTGAATCTGCAGTTAATGGGCGTAAAAGTGTGAAATTAAAGCTATTTTGTGTTCGTGCCATTCACTTCTCAAACCTGCTCGTTAATAAATAGAAAAGAGTTTTGGCCACACCTTGTGGCAATATGGCGTTATTACTTCATCTCTTGAGTTATTAAAAACGTGCTCTTTTGATAATTTTGAGGACATAACTAAGGCGTATTCAGTAATATATTCAGTAAATATTAAACATTTTGACTGAATTTTTTTGGTGGGGCCACTGAGACTGCTCTGCAACACAGAATCTGAGCAAGAACATATTGTGCAAGTTATTCATTCTTTTAGCTGATAACTATTTAGAGTCTGTTCAGCCTGTGAGCAGAATATCAGATGAACCACAAGATTAATTTTAATGACTATCCAGGAAATCTTTATTATTTGTGCATCATAGCTGGCTAACTTTAAGAACCAACCTAATTCAAGATGGTTGCCACAGTCAATTGACCTTAGAAAGCAAACTAATTGCTACGATTCAGTCAATGTTACAGACGTTGTGCTACAATTAGATGTGGTAGCAGCTGAAAGTTATTCACAACATGTATTCAACGCACTACTCACTGCACAAGAACATTGCTTAAACTAGTAATAACGGTTGGACTCAACCTAGGTTGTCTGTTAGCAAAATATATCATGAACTACTGGACAGATTTTTGTAAAACTTGTAAAATTAAATCATCAAATATCCATCTACAGCAGATGGAGTCAGTCCAGTTTTTTGTAATATTTATCCATCCATCCCTCCATCCATTATCTTTTATCCGCTTATTTCATTCTGGGTCGTGGGAGTCACTGGTGCCCATTACCAACAGTCACAGTGGGAGATGTGGGGACACCCTGGACAGGTCGCAAGTCCATCTCAGGGACACATAGAGACAAACGAGACAAACAACCTTTCACGCTCCCACTCACATCTAGGGACAATTTAGAGTTATATAACATTTATATTTTTTCAAAATGGCAAATCTTTAATTATAAATACTTCCCCATAGTAATACACTGTTATCACTTCCTTTAATAACCTTATACAGTGTAGTCTTTTGTTAGTTTTAGGTAGAATTTTGCTTCAATTAGCTATTAGTTACTTAATTAATATTTTTGATCTTTTTCTACCTTTAGTTATTAGTTGACCTGTAGCTGCTCTTAATCAGCCCTTGGCTCCTGTCATTTAGAGTTTTGTTCTTTGTAGCTACTGTTCTGCTTCTTTAAGCTTTAAAATGTCTCTTTTTTTATTTCTTCAGCAAAATTCAGTAGGGTCATTCAGCACTCAGCATTTACTTTTGGTTTTTGCAAAATGCCTTTTCTTTAGTTTGTTTAACATTTTTGAACGTCTCAGCAAATCTGCAGCTGTACAAATAAATAAAAATCACAAAACTCAACACAGAGATGTTGAAGTTTCGCTGAGACTACGTTACCCTATGTCCTTTGCGCAGCCACAAAGCCCGACGGGTAGCCTCCCAACGTCCTTGTCCTGCTGCAAGCTCACACCGATAGACTGCCTTCACGTTGGGGCTCGAGGGTCTGTCATTTACTTGAGCTTGAAAAGAGCAAAGCTTTCAGATATGATGGCAGCCAGATTTCTGCGCCGGGCTCTCCCTGTGCTGAGGCAGACTCGCTCCTACGCCGAAGCCTCCGGTGCTCCGCAGATGTCCTTCACTTTCGCCTCCCCGACACAGGTGATAAGCCGACGTTACAACCGAGGCTTCTCGGGCCTAGATAGCTTTTCGGCTAACTTAAATTATTAAAATGAGCTGACACTGCATAAAACTCTTCTCCTGGTGTTACTATACAGATTGAATGATTTTACCATATTTGCTTCGGAAGCATATTTGAACTGAAGTGTCTGGAAATTGATTAGCATCGTTAGCTTAGCATAAGCAGTTGTCATTCACCGTAGTTAATGGCTCTTTTGGAAATAAATAATCGAAGCACCCCTTCTGTTAAACTTCCATGTTCATGTTAAAAACAAGTTTTAAAGTGTAACATTATTCATCGTAATTTTTATCATGTGTTTAATAATGACTTAAGACACTTCAAACTGCGCGTCAAATTGTAAATGTTTTTTTAAATTTGCGTCAGTGTTGTAAGATGGTTGTATTTGACTCACTGTTTGTTAAACCTAATGTTGTCATTTCTTAAACCTCCGACTACAGTTAAGTTTAAAACCAGTGCAAATCACAGCACACCTTCATTGTTATATTGCTTACTTGTTACATATATTGTTAATTTACAGTAATCAAGTTAATAATAATTACTCAGTGTCGTGTGTGATGGGTCAAATGCAGAGGACACACTTTGTTTGTCATTATTTGGAAATACACAATGACACTATTTATATCACTTTTCAATACAATAGTTTATTTCCAAAAATAAGAAGGTGAAAAAAAATGCACAAAGTTGCTGAACATTTAAGTGTTCATCTTTTGTAAACTACTTAAATAATCCGATTGTAATGTAATGCAATACACATACAATATGTATAATTTTATGTTGACGAGCAATACTTTACTTTTAAGAATTCTGCATTTTAGGCTCAGTACTGTGCAAAGTGAGTTCAGTCATCGAGCCATTTGGAGTCTGTCATTATTCTGTATTACCAAGAGGAAAGATACTGACCCCTTATCAGTCCACCAACACGAGTAGGACTTTGAAAAACAACAAATTTCTGTTTTAAATGGGTAAAAAAAAAACTAATTTACAGGAATTAATGCTTTTTTTTGTCCGTTAGAAATGAGAAATTACTGTGGAATGATACAAAGGTTAAAGCACAGTCACCAACATAAGGAAACAGTATTCATAGTAGTATTAGTTGTAGGGGGAGTGGTGGCGCAGAGGTTAGAGAAGGTGGGCCTGTGATCGGAAGATCGTCGGATCAAGCCCCATTACCGACAACATCAAAATTGTGGGTGGGGTAGGTGAAGTACCCACACCTGCCCCCACCCTCATTCACCCCACTCTGGGCCCATGAGCAAGGCCCTTAACCCCCATCTGCTCCCTAAACGGGTCTCTCTTGAAAATGAGTTCTAGCGGCTCAATGAGACTACCTGGATAAATAAAGAGTAAATGAAAAAAAAAAATCCTTTTTGTAGTTCTGTGGTGATTTTGTTTTTATATAATGTATATATATATATATATATATATATATATATATATATATATATATATATATATATATATATATTAAAGAAATTAAATGTGTTGCTTGCTTGTGTGTTTTCTCTTCCAGGTGTTCTTTAGTGAAGCCAGTGTGAAACAGGTCGATGTTCCAGCACTTACTGGTGTATTCGGTATCCTTCCTGCCCACGTGCCCACCCTGCAGGTGCTCAGGCCCGGTGTTGTCACAGTCTTTAGTGAGGATGGCACCGCTGCCAAATACTTTGGTAAGATATTTCTTTGCTAAAACTCACAAAGAGTCAACTGTGTGGACAAACACAACCAGCTTTGTTGACCTTTGCCTCTGTGAAATCCGCCATGCAGATTCTCTGAAACTTGAAATAACTAAAATTCTTCGGAATGGACGACGTCTAAAAGTCTTATTTTCTGAATCCTTGAGCAAACAAAACATTTTGGCTTTCATTCACATTGTGCTGTTTTTTTAAGACGCGTAAGGATTGCCAGCATGTTACTCACTATGTATGTATGTGTGTGTTTGTGTGCACGCAGTGAGCAGTGGGTCAGTAACGGTCAATGCTGATTCTTCAGTACAGCTTCTAGCAGAGGAGGCTGTTCCCCTCGACCAGCTGGACATTGCAGTGAGTATTATGTCCGACTTGTTACTCTCGTACACATGAGGACCACAACTGAAGGAAACTTGTGAAGTAAACTGGGAGATGCAGAAACAGTCTTTCATTCATTCAACCTTTATTTATACAGGTTAATCCCATTGAGCCTCGGGGACTCATTTACAAGAGAGACCTGAATTAGTTGTTGGTAGATTGTACTACAAAGTAAATTCCAGTGTGCTTGACCTTTTTGTTAGCTGGAGTATAGATAATGTTTCAAACCACTGATTTGACAGTTTCACTTTTTTTTTTTTTTTTCTAATTGTTATATATGAACTACAAACAATATGCAGTATGTCTCCACTAGGCTGTTAAGTCTACACACAATGTATAAGCTCTCCCTCTATCAGACTGCAGTATAGTTATATGGTGTGTATCTTGTAGAAGAAAGCTACAGTGTCACAATAAATGGTCCCTGTTTTATTTGTGTCAGAGGCTCAGAAAGAAAGTTTTTTTTTTTAAATATATATATTGGATGTTTCTGTACACTCATTTAGAAATAATTCAGGTGATTTCAAAAGGTTTGCAAAGACTTTCTAACCATTAAATTAATATATAAACTCAATTTTGATGGAATGACCATCAGTTTCATACAGTTAAATGGTTTTATCCATATCTAACAAAGTTAAATCTGGTCCTCTGGACATTCCAAAAAACAAACAAAAAAGTTCTAGAAACGTTTCGTCTTTCCTCCGAGAGACTTCCTCAGTCTGAGGTGCTGTATTCAGCTCAGTCTCTTAAATAGCACCTTCTCAGAGTGGATCAACCAGTTTGCTGCTGACAACCAAAACCAGCTGATCACATGCTCAAGAAGGACCATCAGCCTAACAATGGATCATTAGCACACTGATGGCTGTTTACTGTTCACAGAGGGCTGAGTGATACTAGCAATCACAGCATTGTAAGAGGGGGACAGTTGAACCCGGAGGCCTCCACCCCTGTTTAATGATGGACGATTTCTTTTCACAAAGATGGCCTCTTTTACTCCTCTCTCAAACCATCGTTCCTCTCACAGCCCTCCTGACACTGAACAGCATACACAACTTTACTCTGTTTGTGCCGGGGGACTGGATCTTTGGGATGAACCAGTCTTTGCCGTAATGTATTTTGGGGTTTAAAAGCCACTGGGACGTTATGTTTAGAAAATAAACGTCTCAGTTTCTCTGATACTCCCTCAACATACGGAATGACCACTGGTCTGGGTCTGGGTTCCTCCTTTTCACCTGATGGCTGACTGGAGTCCTGTTTGGGTTTCTTCTCTGCTTTCAGGAAGGCCCAGTTAGGATATCCACATTGCTCTAGAGCCTGTCTTGTGTAGGATTTCTCCTTCTGCCTGGCTCCTGAGTTAGTGGGGACGCTGTCTGCTCTGTGATACAGAGTCCTGATGACTCCTAACTTGTGCTCCACAGGGTGATGCACAAGCACACCGATCGATTAAAGTTTCATTGATATTTAAACTTAAAATACTATGGCTTAGTTTACATAAATACCTATTTTTATATGCCCTAATAAAGAGTGCACCTGGGGAGTGGTGGCTGTGGCAACCACTGAAGAAGGGAGCAGCTGAAAGAAGAAAATAGTAATAATAGTGCACCTATTAAAGAAACTCTGTTAATCACAGGCTGCTGACCATCAATTACTTGAGATGCTAACTTAAATTGGAAATGCCATAGAGAAGCTAACACGGTTAGCATTGTATTTATTAGTGAGTTTATGCACAAATCAAACATTTCATAGTCGTATATAAAACAACCAGATTAAGATAACTTTCTACAACTACTATTTACAGACATGTTATTCAGGTTTCAGGGAAGAAAATGTATAAACACAGTTTTTCTGCTACACTACAGGAACAACTGGGACAAACGGCACCAGACAACAACTAATCTCTTAAAGTGGTACAGCAGATTAATATTAACAAAACCAAATTTATCAGTTCTGGTATCTCCTCCAGCTGCAGTGAATTGGTTTGGTCATGTGTGAACACATACATTTAATATGTAGACGTTGAATAATTAATTACCGGTACGTGTCATCACCTTTGGTTAGTGTAGCGGGGTGTCCTCCTTGAAAATGAGTCCAGGAAACACTGATTGGTGCTCTCACCTGCAGTCTGTCTTTAAGTTAGAAACACTGAGCCGCCCGCTGTGGATCAGACAGCACAACCCGCCCTGCTCTGATTGGGTCAAGCTGTGGTTCTGGTTCTGTTTTATTTGTTGAAAGCGGCACCAGTATCGTATGTTGGATGGCTTTTATCAAGACCACAACAAATACACTTTTCCCTCCCCCCTTTCATTTTTACAGATGACTGAAGTCAGTCACAGCAACAGAGAACTTTAACTCGTGTATTTTTCACCTGTGTGTCCACCGGACAACCTCGAGGCCAGATTGGGTTGTCTGTTACAAACACAGATTCTCTCAGACAACTGGAAACATCTGTCGACCCCTGAACTAGAAAGCTTTTACCCTACACCTTTAGTTTTAATTCTGAATCTGGAGTCTACATCCAGTTTGTAGATGTCTCAATTCTCTGACTGTTGGTCTTTATGAGCATAAATCATCTTTAAATCCTTCACTTTTTTGGTCTCTGATTGGTTAGTGAACACCTCCAAGCTGATGATCATCAACTGGCCCAGAATCTCCATACTAAGTCCTCTTTATCTAAAATGTCAGCCATGTTAATGATGAGCTGTTTTAATGCACTCATCTTAAAGTTGTCTATCTTTGGGCAGTGCCACTGTCTCTGTCAAGTTCACTTCATAGCACTAAATGAGCTACCCCCCATCCCCCCTTGTTCTGTAGTAACAACGCACACAGTCCCACACTGTTAATAAGGAGGGAAAGGTCAGTCACTGTTGAGTTATAGCAGATGTGCCAAATCCCCACTGAGAGACCTTTAACTTCCAGCTATGTTTGGCATTTCTCGTTTCTAATCGCCTCTGTGACAAATGGAGCTTTCCGGGCAAAGAGACAGTGGGGATTTTCTCTGTTCATCTTTGTCCTTGCTTTGGCTATTTCTACTTTTGCATCCTTGTTAGCCTCAAAGCTTTTTGAAGTAAGAGTTTTGACTAATTCAGAGTCAAACGGTACATTTATATATTGCAAAACTCCAGACTTACAAAAATAATGTTTGTCAACTAAGCCATGAATTTCTCGCCACTGTGTTTGTTGTTGTTGTTGTCAGTTTTTTTAATCATATTTTATTTATTTTTCTTCCACTTTTAGGCAGCCAAGGCCAACCTGGAGAAAGCCCAGTCTGAGCTGGTTGGTGCAGCCGATGAGGCGGCGAGGGCAGAGGTTCAGATCAGCATAGAGGCCAACGAGGCCATCGTCAAAGCTCTGCAGTAAACCTGTGGTGTGTCCTCGCATCCTGCTTTCATACTGAAAGTGTAAATGTTGCACATTCAGTGTTGACGAGTTCTTCTTCTCCCCTGCAGGTAATTTGTTCTGGTGCTTTCATGAAAACCAACTGACCCTCTGAGATTCCAGCGCAGATCCATCAGTGTCGAGGGGTTTCCATTCTTTCTTTGTACAGTGGATGAAAATAACAATAAATTTATTTGGAATGGTATTGTGAGGATGCTTTTTTTTTTTTTGCTTTTTATTGGGATTTAGATATTGTCAGATTTTGTGACTAATTTCACTTCTGAACATTTTATTCTATGACTATGCAATGATCATAGCTACCACTTGAGGGCAGCAGACTTCAATTTTCAGAGTATTTTACTTTCTCAGCTGACTGGTACTAAATTTATCAATCAGCTACTTTGTAACTTGAATATTTTTTTTTCCCTTTTTGAATTCTGGGGTCGTGTCAGCTCTTGTTTGGTTAAAGCGTTGCCACGTGTGGGATAGAGTTATTCTGAATCCTCAGTCGCTTCATTTAAATGTGCTGGCAGGATGTGACAATTACGAGTGATGACATCAAGCTTCAGCAACAAAGCCAAGAAAAGCATTTCCCTGTTCCTTCTGTGGAAAACTGGGCCTTACTCTAATTTCGTAACCACCGGATTCAGCTCTGACTTAATTCGCGTGCCGACTTCTGGCTGACGACACGGATCGCACACTTTGTTCTAAATGTCAGGCCTCTGGGTCAATTACAAGTGTTAAATATATTTGATTATTTTGTAATGAAATACTTGCTGATGCACATGGTGATGCTGCTACTGATTTTAAAGTGGTATTTTAAAATGAACTCCAAAGTTTACATCTTTTGTGAGAATTAAAGGTTTTGAACTCCTTTATGTAGATGGCTCTACAGAGCCCCATTTCAAAATATAGGAAGTATCACATTAACGCTGACCACCAAAGGCAACAGGGAGATGATGTTTTTGCTTATCAGGTTTATTATTTGCGTCACGTGGTGTGTGAGGCGGAACAAAATTGTGTACTCAAGCTCCCGGTTACACCCAAAAATAGCAAAAATGTAAAGTACAAAAGAAACTGTAAATAAGGATCTATCTAAGATATACACGAAACACTAATAATGTCAAATAATACGGTAAAACTGCAGCCTGAACATGAGTCTTTGGTGACCAGATGGGTATGAATGAATACAGCAACAAATGTACAGACCTTTTCCAAAAAATAATATGGAAAAGTTGTTTAACTCCATAATCCCATTCAAAAAGTTGATCTTTAATAGATGATAGATTCAGAACTCACAATTTAAACAACTTCAAGTATTTATTGTTTATTTTTACATAATTTGGGATTCCAACTCATGAAACCCATGAAAACGGGAATTAAAAAATTAGAGTACTGTGGAGAAATCAGCCCACATTTCTCAGTTTTTGCAGAAAACATGAAAAAAATTAGGATCACAACAAATCAATCAAAATATGGTACTTTCAAAACAATATGTCAATGTTCAATACTTGGTTGGGAATGCCTTTACTTTAATTGCTGCCTCGATGTGACGTGGCATTGAGGCAATCAGTCTGTGGCATTGACTGGAGTTATGGAAGCCCAGATTTCCTTGATGCTTACTGTCAGCTCTTTGTTGTTGGGTCTGGTGCCCCTCATTTTCCTCTTGAGAATACCCCATAGATTCTTAATGAGGTTTAGGTGCGGCGAGTTGGCTGGCCAGTCAAGTACTGTGGCATGGGCATCAAACCAGGATTTCATGGGCAGGGGACCAGGTCCTGCTGGAAGATGAAATCTGCATCTCCATACAGATCCTCAGCAGAAGGAATCATGAAGTCCTCTAAATCATTGTGGTAGACCAGGCATGGGCAAACCCCGGCCTAGGGCTTTTTAATTGGCCCGCCAAAATTGTCCAAAATTTGGACAATTAAAAACAGTTTCAAATTAGACTTTATTTTTCAGGGGTGCTGAGGTAAAATTTAGGGGTGCTTAAGCCCCCCCCCCCCCCCCCAAAAAAAATAATAAAAATAAAAAAATAAATAAAATAAAATAATAGGTTAAAATCACCACTGGTTCAAATTATATTTAAAAAATAATAATTTAATAGGAAAAAACTGGCGCCGTTTTACCTGTAGTTCCAGCATTTCCCCAGTGGAGGCGCACTACAGACACTGGCATGTATTAGAGCATATGTGTCAAACTCAAGGCCCGGGGGCCAAATGTGGCCCTCGTTGAAATCTTATCTGGCCCCCAAGATGATATGTGAAATGTAAAATACTTCTGTCACTTTAATTTTTTTCAGTAATCTCTGATTATGATGTTGAAAGCACAACAGAGAACATTAAATGAGACCAATCAAATTCTTGTTGAGGAACCTGTGACCAAGAAAAGATGCTGGGTATCTGATTTGAGTTAATGTAGATTCTGAAATTGGCCCTTAGTTTGAAAAAGGTTTTAATTTTGGCCCCCTTTTGTAAGTGAGTTTGACACCGCTGTATTAGAGGTAAATGGACTATATGCCACGGTGTTTATCAAAGAAAAGAAAAGTGTACAGTGAGTGCCGATTGTTTAAAACGAAGTGGACAACAACATATTGTTTCACTGAGGTCCAATCAAAGGCCGTTTTTTATGCCAAGAAACAGTTGCGGTTTTCCAAGAGTACACTTGCTAACTGCTAACTATGCTAGCAAGCCTTTGCTAACTGCTAACTATGCTAGCAAGCCTTTTTCCGATGGCGATTTTTTTAAAAGAAACATGGTGAAAACAGAGCAGGTCTATTGTGTCTGGAGGGCCAAGATTAGTTTGAAAAAGTCAGTTTATCACGCAGGACTGTGACTCGCCTTGTGGAACTGATTGATGAAAATTTAGCTAGCAAAATAAGCTAAAAGGCAGAGAGAGTCCTTTAAGTTACGGTTTACTGGATTAAAGTAATAAAGGACACTTCTCATCTCCTTTTTTTTAATCTGTGGGATTAACAACAGTTTTGAGATGATGGAGGTGTTTTTGACCCTGGAGTCTCTGAAAGGAAAAACACGGGGAGAGGATTTTTATAACCGTCTGCTGTCATGAGAGAATGAAGCTTCTGTGGAGTAAAGATGACAATGTCACAAGGGACAGATCATCAAATTTAAGTGGAAAACATGTCGGGCTGCTGACAAGAATCCAGGATAAAGTATAACCAGGATAACCTCGATCAGGATGTTACTTTTCATCCATCAGGAATCACTGTATAAGTCATGCTTTGTGTGTGCGTGTGTGAAACTGTTAATTGTGTGAATTATCCCTCCAAAAAAGTGAAAGATAAAAACGTGAATTACTGTCCAGGTACTCTGTTGTGATGCTGCATAGAGGAGCTGCAGGAGGATGATGTCTGCTTCCATTCTCAACCTGCTGCAGCTGACCTGCTGTCATCAACTTTAGATCCTGTAGTTGTAAAAAGTTTTGTGAAGAGTCTGTGGAGGTGAGCTGCCACTTTATTTCAACTTTTCTCCTGTATTCCATTAGCATACGGGGGTAAGAGACTTGTGGTTTGGTGAATTTTATTTTTCTTCAGGTAAGAGAAAATACAGTGGTTTGTTTTGTTTGTTGTTCTGGCCTGAAGTTGGTAAGACTCCACAAAGTCAATTATTTCACTATTGTAAATAAAATCACTGTTCTATCATATAATCCTGACTTAGTGGCTGCTTGAGTGGTGCAGAAGGTGGAATCGCTCATGATTAATTGCGTCCCGGCGGCTGTTATTTCGCTGGGGTGTACCATCACACAAACACTCCATCCATCTGTTCCTGGCCTGGCCCTTCGCTCCAATTTTAGAACTCGGTGTGGCCCGCGAGTATAAAAGAAGTTTGCCCACCCCTGTGGTAGACTGTTGCAGTGACCTTGGATTTAAGAAAGCAGAGTTTACCAACACCTACGCCGGACATTGCACCCAAAATCATGACTGACTGTGGATATTTCACACTGGACCTCAAGCAGTATGGGCTCTGTTCCTCACCCTTCTTCCTCCAAACCCTTGGACCTTGATTTCCGAATGAAAGGCAAACTTTACTTTAATCAGAAAAGAGGATGTTGGACCACTGGCCAACGGTCCAGCTCTTCTTCTCCTTGGCCCAGTTGAGAAGCTTCCTACATTGGCTCAGGTTCAGAAGTGGCTTAACCCTATGAACCCGACAGTTGTAGTCCATCTCCCAGATGCATCTGAATGTGGTGGTTTTTGAAGCTGTGACTCCCGCCTCATTCCACTCTTTCTGGATCTCTGCCAGATTCTGGAATCTTCTCTGTTTGATAATCCACTGAAGCCCACGGTCATCTCTTTTGCTGGTGCATCTTCTCCTGCCACATTTCGCCCTTCCACTAGACTTTCCATTGATATGCTTGGACACAGCACTCTGTGAACAGCCAGCCTCCTTAGCCATGAACTTTTGTGGCTCACCCATCCTATGGAGGGTATCAATGATGGTCTTCTGGCCAGTTATGTCTGCAGTCTTCCCCATATTGAACCGAAATGAGAAAATTGAACCAAACTGAAGCAAATTAATGACACCTGGGGAAACCTGTGCAGGTGCTTTGAGTTTAGAAGATAATTAGTGTGTCACACTCAGTTTAAAACATTCATGCTCGGCAACATTTGGGCTGATGTCTCCACAATATTCTAATTTTTTGAATTCCTGTTTTTGTGGGTTTCATGAGCTGGAAGTCCAAATTATGTAAAAATAAACAAATAAATACTTAAAATCGTTTAAATTGTGAACTCTGAATCCATCATCTATTAAAGATGAGCTTTTTGAATGGAATTATGGAAGTTAAACAACTTTTCCATGATATTCTTATTTTTTTTGAAAGGGTCTGTATGTGTTTGTAGTGTGAGCAATGGGTCTCATTGACCAGTGGATAGAGTTTAATGGAAGTCAAGTCATCACTGGACGTACCGCTACAACTGATTAACTTTTGGAATCGACCCTCTTCAAGTTGGCTGCCACAGCAAAAGTGACTAAAATTCAGTTTTACAGATATTGAGCTAAAATTTGGTTTGATAGTAGCTGAAACGTATCACGAGCAAACGCATCTTACAAGTTTTCGCTGTATTGCATGAGATTGCACCCATCATTCACAAGTTTTTTTTTTCTACTAAGAATAATAAATAAATAAAAACAGATGTCAACACCTCTCACATCCTCCTTTCTGTTCTCCTTTCTAATCTGTCATTAAAACCTGCACTGACT